AAGCGCTGCGGGACGCGCGAGGCAGGACCCGAAGGGCTGGTTCGCGGGTCCTCGCCGCGCAGGGAGCGCTCCGGGGTAGGTGCTGCCGCGGCTCCGCGGTGACGGCCGACCCAGGGCTCACCACCTTCGGCGGGCGAAAGGGGCCGCAGCTCGGGTTCGAGATCCATTTTGGCTGCAAAACTTGTGCCCAGTGCACTAAATGGTAGCACAGCATTTGGTATTAATCGGCTTTAAAAGCCACGGATTTGATGGCTACTGTGTTTGAGCATTTCATATTTATATGTGTATATATATTTTTTGATGTATTTATGTTGTTTAGAGACAGGGTTTCACTGTGTAGTTCAGGCTGGTCTTGAACTCACTTTGTGGCCCAGGCTGGCCCCTAACTTGCAGCGATCCTCCTGCTTCAGCCTCCTGAGTGCTGGGATTACAGGCCTGCACCACCGTGCTCAGCCCTGACCGTTCTACATTCTAATGTCGGGCTGCTTTTCTAAACTTTGGGTTAATATGTTGCCCTAGGACGTCAAGTGTTGTAAACAAAGTGCTGGATCGGATCTAGGCGCAGCTACCTTAGTCTCAGGGTTGGGTTGTTTTTTTTTTTTTCCTCCCGGTATCCGGAATCGAACTCACGACCTTGAGCTTGCCAGGCAGGCGCTGTGCCGCTGAGCTAAATCCCCAGCCCCATCAGGGTTCGGTTTTGTTCTGGTTTGTGGTGATGGGCATTGAACCCAGATATTCAGGCTGAGCTACACCCTGAACCTTTTTTGTTTTGTTTTGGAACCGTTTTTGTTTTGTTTTGTTTTGTTTTTGGTAAGTCCTTAAATTCCCCAGGCTGGGTCTGAGCCTGTGGTCCTTTTGCCCTCAGCCTCTTAGAGAGTGCTCCGATTACAGGCCAGTGCCACCACTCCTGCCTGATTTAATGTGCCTCCCTTGGAGAGCTTGGCTGACTTTCCTTTCTAGATCTACTGGCAAGAAGCAGGAGATGGTGGACTTCTTGCTGTCTTAATGCCTGTCCCGTTTAGCTGGTGACCACAGGGTAACGAAATGAACATGGAGAACAATAGCCAGTGTATGCCTGGCATGGTGGCGCATGCCTCTAATCCCATCACTCGGGAGGCTGAAGCAGGAGGATCGTTGCGAGTTCGAGACCCGCCTGGGCTACAAAGTAAGCTGAAGGCCAGCCTGCACTACATAAGGAGACCCTGTGTATTCCAGTGGCTACTGAGCTACACAGTGCAGGGAATGCTAAGGGTGCCACTTGCCTATCCTGCTTGAGGCCTGGGTTCCATTCCTAGCACCAAAAAATAAAATGAAACGCTTGTAAAATGAAGATGGTTAAAATATTTATTATCATACAGAGGTGGGCAGTGCTTTGGGTTGATTAAGAGAAATAGAAGCCAGCCTGCCTGGCAAGCTCAAGGTCCTGAGTTCGATTCCCAGTACAAAAAAAAAGAAAGAGAAATAGAAGCCAGGTGTGGTGGTGTACACCTATAATCCCAGTGGGAAGCTGAGGCAGGAGGATCACAGAGAGTTCCGGGCCTGTTTGGGCAACATTATGGGTTCAAGGTCGGCCCGCATAGCGAGACCTTGTCTTAAAAAACCATGGGAAAAGCAACCCAAGTGTGGTGGTACAAGCCTGAAATCCTAGCACTCCGGAAGAGGCTGAGTGAGGCAGGAGGGTCGCAAGCTTGCTCACAGCCTGGGCAACTGTGTAACTTAGCAGGACTCTATCTCAAAAGGAAAGAGAATTAAGGTTGTACTCATTTACCGAGGTTGAAGGTTGGAAGTATAGCAGTATGAAAGTGGTTTGAGAAAACACATTCAAGTGTTTGACTCCTTTTTTTTTTTTTTTTTGGTAGCGGGAATCGAACTCATGACCTCAGGCGCTTGCCAGGCAAGCACTTACACCGCTGAGCTATATCCCTGGCCTTTTAAGTATTTGAAAACGGAGCTAAGTGTTGCTTCCTTGTCCCCAGCAGCCTCTCCCCTCCCTTCCTCCGGGGACCTGCTCACTCAGGCAACCCCCGACTCCTCCACCAGCCCCTGCGTCACCAGCCCCTGCGTCGCCCTGCCTGGCTCCCTGGAGTCCTCGGGCAGGAAGGAGGAGGCGGCGAAGGTCCCGGCGAAGAAGCAGAAGGTACGCACGGTCTTCTCACAGACGCAGCTGTGCGTGCTCAACGACCGCTTCCAGAGGCAGAAGTACCTCAGCCTGCAGCAGATGCAGGAGCTCTCCAGCCTCCTGAACCTCAGCTACAAGCAGGTGGGGCCTGTGTGGTTGCAGGAAGCAAACTGAAAGGATTTGCAGAGACCGCGCTCACCTCCTAGTGCACCTGTACATGATTGTTTCTCCTCTTTTTGAAACAAGGTCTCTATGCAGTTACGGCTGGCCTTGAACTCCCTTATGTAGCTCAGGCTGGTCTCGAACTCGCAAAGATCCTCCTGCCTCAACCTCCCGAGTGCTGGGATTACCCAGCTTCCGTTTTATTTTAAGACAGGGTCTTGCTGAGTTGCTTGCCCAGGTTGGCCTTAAACTTGCGATCTTTCTGCCTCAGTCGCTCTGTCATGCCGGGCTTCTATTACTTCCTTCTTTTCCCCCCTTTACTTTCCATCCAAATGTTCACTTACATTAAAATGGATTTGTCCATATTAAAAAGTTCTTGCTGGGTGTGGTGGCACATGACATACGCCTGGCCTGTAAAATCCCAGTACTCCAGAGGCTGAGGCAGGAGGCTCATCATAAATTAAAGGCCAGCTGGCACTACATGGCGAGATCCTGTCTCAAAACAAATAAACAAAAACCCACAAGGGCCGGGCAGAGATAGCTCAGTGGCACAAGCAGCTGCCTGGCAGTCTGCAAAGCCCCGAGTTCAATTCCCGGTACCCTCACTCCCCGACCCCTCCAAAAAAAGGAAAGGAAAGAAAGCTCAGAAACAGCTCCTCACTGCTGTGATGCACACCTGTAATTCCAGCACTTGGGTGGCTGAGGCAGGAGGATCTTTGTGAGTTGAGGGCCGGTCTCAGCTACAGAGTGAGCTCAAAGCCACCCTGAACTGCACAGTGAAAACTTACTTAAAAAAAAGCTCTTCATCCTATATCGATGCTGTGCAGCTTTTAAATTTTTATGGTACATTATTGAATTACAGTTAGACATTTGATGAGGTATTGTGTTTCTTTTTAAATCTCTGTTGCCAAATATACTCGTATTGGGAGGATGTTACTGCAAAAAGCTCTGCCCTGCATAAGCCTTTGTTGCAGTGGTCGGCATGGAGCCCAAGTCCCACACACGCTACTGGACGGGCACTGCCACTGAGCTACACACCTTTTGCTTTTTGAGATGGGGTCTTCCTGTGTAGTACAGGCTGACCTTGAACTCATGGCAGTCCTCCTGCCTCAGTGCCCCGAGTGCAGGGATTACAGGCATGTGCCTCCATGCCCGGCTCCAGTCCTGTTTTAATTTTGAGGAAGGGTTTTTTTTTTTTTTTTGGTCTTTTTGAGACAGGGTCTTACTATGCAGTTCAGGCTGGCCTTGAGCTCACTTTGTAGCCCAGGCTGGTCTCGAAGTCACAACGGTCCTTCTGCCTCAGCCTCCCGAGTGATGGGATTACAGACGTGCGTCACTGCGCCTGGCTGAGGCAGGATCTTGCCCAGGTGGTCCTCTTGCCTCAGCCTCCTACAGGCATGTGCCATGGGCCCAGTTTAGCTGGTTAGTCTTACTGAACAAAAAAAGCAGCCGACCTTCACTGAAAGGCTTGGACAGACTTTCACAGAACTCTGATTCATGCTGCAGTCCCTAAGCTGTCAGGACGGGAAATTACAGTGTCATTCAGCCCCGGCACCTCTGTATTGTGTCTTCTAACTCCTGTCACTTTTTACCATAGGTTAAGACCTGGTTCCAAAATCAGAGAATGAAATGTAAGAGGTGGCAGAAAAGCAACTGGCCGAAGAGCAGCGCCGGTGCATCTCAGGTGACTGGACGCGAAGCGTGCGCTCTTTCCTGCTGGGGGGCTTCTTCTGTCACTGTCTTTTTGAGACAAGGTCTCGCTATGGGGTCAGGCTGGCCTTGATCTCACTTTGTAGCCCAGGCTGGCCTCGACCTCACAGTGATCCTCCTACCTCAGCCTCCGGAGTGCTGGGATTACAGGCATGAGTCTCCACGCCCAGCTGGTTTTAAAATTTTTAAACTGGGCCTGGTGGCCCATGCCTGCAGTCCCAGCAGTTGGGAGGGTTTCAAGTTCTAGGCCAGGCTGAGCTACACAGTGTGACCTTGTCTCAAGAAACCCAAAATATAATTTCCAGTTCCGCTGACCCGTTTGCAGTACACGAGTACTGCACTCATGGGGGTTGGCGCGTGTATGCACCAAGGCTTGTTTTTCCATTCCCTGCCCCTGCCCTGCGGGCCTCTCCCCTCCTTCTGTCTACTGCTGCCTGCCTTTTTGAAAGAAGCTTTCTCTGTTTTCCATGATCTATCCTTTATTTTGCTCTTCTGCTCATTCCTGCACAATGAAATACTACTCTGCCATAAAGAAGACAAAGTTGTCATTTTTTGGAAAAAATATACTTTGAGAGACTACTTTAAATTCCCCGATCCTTGAAGGACATTGCTGTTTGTGTGTATGTGTGTGCGCACGCGCGTGAGGATTACCTGAGATTTCTCCGGCCTTTGCACTCACGTTCAGTTCGCTGGTCGGCCCAGTTCCTCCCAGGTTCCCGCGTCCCAGCTCCGTAGGACGCTTGCTCCTCCGCAGTGAAGCTCACAGGGCCCAAAGGTTGCTGGTCCCAGCTGCCGACCACTCTTCTTTTTCAGACGGGCCCGGCCTCTGCTGAGTACCCAGGCTCCAACTACACCCAGGGCTGCATGGTGAACACATCCGGGAACTTTCCCGTGTGGGGCAACCAGACCTGGAACAGCCCAACGTGGAGCAGCCAGTCATGGAGCAACCACTCCTGGAACACGCAGACCTGGAACACACAGACCTGGAACGCGCAGACCTGGAACACGCAGACCTGGTACCCCCAAGGCTGGAACTCCTTCCCTGCTGGCGGTGAGGAGTCGCTGCAGCCCTGCCTGCCCTTGCCGCAGAATTTCTCCGCCAGTGACTTGGAGGCCACCCTGGAAGCAGCTGGGGACGGCCACAAGTACTTCAACACCCCCCAGGCCCTGGATCTGTTCCTGAATTATGCCATGAACCTGCAGCCTGAAGATCTATGAAAGCGAGGTTCCCTCCCTCCCGCACAGGGTTTTGCTGTTGGTTTTAGGGTGGTGCTGGATTTCTCGGGGTCCCGGTTCTCACTGGGCCTGTTGTGACGACGCGGGGTGTGGGCAGGACTGGAGACGGAAGGAGGAGGCTGTAGTGACCTCGTGTGCTGCAGGCAGGCAGTGTCTGGGTATCAAGCAGCCACCAGACACCGTCGGACCTCTGGGTGGAGAACCCAACCTCAAGGCGGGGGGACACGGCTGTGGTGAAGCATCATTCCTGTTTGCAGGAAGTGGAGCCTTCAAAGTGGGGCTCGGGTGGGGCTCGCTGGTAGCGTGCTTGCCCTAGCATGCTTGAGGTCCTGCGTTCCATCCCTGGAACAGTAAAAAGACCCAGTAAATTCCACTGTCTTGTGTGGAACTGGAGGTTGAACCCAAGACCTTCACACTGACCTGCGTTCCTGCCCTGCCCCTTTTGAAACAAGGTCTTGTGGGGGTGCTTGATTTCTCAGAGGTGGGCTTGAATTTAGGATCCTCCTGCCTCAGCCTCCCAAAGAGCTAGAGTTCCTCTTGTGTGCCACCACATCCGGCTAGAAACAAATTCATACATTGTTAGAAGTCAGTCGTTCGGGTGAGGGGTCACGTTAGAGTGTGCAGTGCTGATGCCCTCCACCCCACCCCCATGGGGCTCTGGGTGTATTGTGACCCCCGCTGTACTGACTGACGTTTGTAGAAAGATGTCTTACACACGATAGGGCCGCATCCTGATGAATCGGGTTTGACTGTTGGGTTCGTTTAAGTGCAAATAAATAAACAATCTCTGCCTGCTTGATTTCACCTGGTGGTTCAATGAGTTTGGCCAAGTAATTCGGTTTCGTTTTTGAGACAGGGTCTCATGTAGTCTACTGGCCTCAAACTCACGGTGATCCTCCCAAGTGCTAGAATTCGAGGCATGTGCCACTACGCCTGGCCAAGTAATTGTTTTTAGCTGTCTTCCAACCTGGGCTCAAGCGACTTCCTGTCTGCTGAGTAGTGGGACCACAGGTGAATGTCACCGTGCCCAGCTCAGCACTGTACTCTGCATGCTCTAGCAGTGAGCTGTGGCCCCCAGCCCCCCTTTTCCTTTGGTGATACTGAAACCCAGGGGTCTTGTTTTTGCATTTAATGTTACTGAACTACAAACTACATCCCAGGCTCTTTGAGACATTAGCAGTAAGTTACCCAACTTGGGCTTGAGCTCAAGATCCTCCTGCCTCAGCCTCCAATGTAGCTGTGATCACAGGTGTGTGTGCCATGGTGCCCTGTTTCTGGCACCCCCTCCCCTTTTAAAGCAGAGTAAGCACACCTGTAATTCCAGCAATCGGGAAGCTGAGGCAGGAGGATCATTGCAAGTTTGAGAACGACCTGGGCCCGAGTGAGCTCAAGGCCAGCCTGAACTGCACAGTGAGACCCTGTCTCAAAAAGACAAAAAAAGATGGAGGATATCAAGGTGAGTTTTTCCTAGTCATTTCCCTTATTCTCCCATGTTTCATTCTACAAAATCCAGTTGTCTAGACTGAAGACAAGGAAGGTAGGGATAATTTAAAAGAATTAAATTCGTGCGGCGCCCTCAGGGGCAGTTGTCAGATACCTGGAGCTTCGTGTTTCAGACCTAAGTCACAGAAAGCACCCAGCAATTGGAGAAGCAGAAAACCCTTCTGCAATCACTACTTTTGGTACCTAGAACTTAGAATCACCACAAGCTCGAGCCCAGCCCAGATAACCTGCTAGTATCCCAGGCAGGCCCAGCCCCTCGAGCCCTGGGGCTAAGGATGTGCACGGCCGTGCCTAGCAGTGTGTCTGTGCCAGGGATGCAGTGCTGTGGGAAGGCCCTGGGTGGATCTCGGTACTGGGGACGAAACCCAAGGCTTTACACCTGCTGCCAAACCAGCGCCGTGCACTGAGTTACACCCTATCTTTGCCTTTGCCATTCTAATACAGTAGGTTCTGGCTGAATGCACAAATGCCATACTCATACATTTGAGAAAATAACTAAATGGTGAGCTGGAGGCTGGAAGCTTTGGGAAAGTGGCTCCGACCCTGGGACCCCTGATGGAGCGGGCAGTTAAGTTCTGCTCTGGTGGTAAGAATCAAGCACTGGGCTGGGGATATAGCTCAGCGCCACAGCACCTGCCTGGTAAGTGCAAGGTCCTGAGTTCAATTCCCAGTACCGGAAAAAAACAAACAAACAAAAAAAAAACCAAGCACTGATGCTTTTATCCTTATAGAGATGGGTGTGACGGGTACTTAAGAGCTCCCCCAGCCCGTCTAAAAGGTAAAGTCTGAGCTGGGCATGGTGGTGCGTTCCTGTAATTCCAGGGCTCTGGGAGGATGAGGCAGGAGGGTTGTAGCCTGGGCAGTGTGGTGGTTTAGAAAGCTTGTTACAAAATGAAAGGCCCCCGTCCAATCCCAGCACCTCCCCAATACCCAAGAAGTAGAGGCTGAGTAAAGACCTTTTTTTTTTTTTTAATCCAGCTGAGGGGTGCAGTGAGGAGCCCTCAGGCCGCGCAGCCTGGCGGGTGTTCAGGGTACTTGTTCCAGCCCGCAGGGTTACTGAGGAGGGGGCAGGGTGTGGGGTTTCAGTGGGAGCTGTGCGTTGGGAAAATCTCCCAGCAGGATAGAAAACGTACTAATCCGACATATGTAACTGGACACGCACGTCGGTGACTGGGGATTTAGAGGACTTTTGTGGCCCTTCGTGTGATGAGCGTGGTCACGAGGGGCAGTGGCTCGGGCCCTGCATCCCCTGCAGAGCTGTGGCTGACGCACTCCGTCCCTGTGCTGGAGTCCAGCCCTGCGTGGCCGCCGTGTCACGGAGGTATCCAGCTGGCTGGGGACGGAGCCCGGGCTCAGCTGGCCGAGCAGGAGCCTCACACCCTCAGCCGACCTGTGCTCCGTGATAACTCGCTCTGTAAGTCGCTGTGAGGCAGGTGGCGGGACCTCGGCCTTGAAGTCATTTCGCAGATGCTTAAGCTTTTCAAATTCTCCAAGGCCACCTTTCCCAGGGAGCTGGCGGCGGGGACGTCTCCAGCTGCTGCTCTCGGGCTCAGGTGACCCTCGCCCCAGGGACCCATTCAAATGCCTGCCCCTCTGCAGCCTTCCCCAGCTCACTTCCTGGCCCGAGGCCTTTGTCTGCCCCCGCTGGCTTCTTTCTTTCACAAATTCCCTTTGTCTCAGGCTCCAGACCGAGCCCACTCGGCCTCAGGAAACGGCAATATTTACCGACAGCCTCCCGGCTTTCCTGCCCCCGTCTGGCAGCTGTCTGCCTCTACTTCTGAGTTTGTCATCCCGGCCCGCTTCTCCCCCTGTAGACCCTGGGCTTTCTGAATAGTGAGATTATTCAAAGCGGAGTTGGCCCAACCCGGCCCGGGGTGCAAGTCGGCTCACCCCCTCCCCGGCCTTGTGCGCGCCGCTCTCCGGGCTCAGCCGACCCAGCCCCTCTGCACCAGATCCTTCTGTCTGTCCGTAGTGTTCTAGACGGCAGAAATCAAGCCGGACAGCAGAACAAATCGAAGTCTGAAACTCATCAAGCAAAAAGCAGAATGGTTAAAGTAACCTGCAGCTCCCCTTGAGAGAAGGCAGGAAGCCAGAGGGGCCGGTGATTTTGTGATTCATCTGCTTTCCCCGTAACTCCTAGTAGTTAATAATCTCCTCCATCCTGTGACCAAAAAAGATATAAACTGAAAAGCCCTAAATTAGGTTCGCACCTCCAAGTCTTTGTGTTTGCTTTGGTGGGAGGGGGTTGTTTTTGGTTGTTTGGGGCAGTGCAGAGGATTGAAACAGGGCTCTCACATTAAGCTGTATCACTATGCCCCTTTTATTTCTTTTCTTTTTTGAGACAGGATCCTGCCAAGGCCCTAGCTTGCCTAGGCTGAGTATCAACCAGTGATTCTCCTGCCTCAGCCTCCCACAGTGCTGACTTCAGGCTTGTGCCCTGCATACCCATCGTGAATGACAAAAGTCACACCGTGAGACAGCGAGTTTGAGCCCAACCTGGATAACTTAGCAATTTAGGAAGCCCTTGTCTTACATTAAAAAATAAAGAATAAAAAAGGCGGAGACCGTAGTGGAGCTGTGAAGGCCCTGGGTTCAGTCTCCGTACTGCAAAACAAACTCCAACCGTACAAAAGTCACATGGGAAATGCATAAGCCTTCTCCAGATCAACTACCTGAATATTGTCCTTGCATCAGAACTGTGTTCTGGCTGGGCGTGGTGGTGCATGCCTGTAGTCCCAGCACTCAGGAGGTTGAGGCAGGATTGCTGGGAGTTCAAGGCCAGCCTGGGCTACAGAGTGAGACCTTATCTCTTTCTTTCTTTCTTTTTTTTTTTTTTTTTTTGAGATAGGGTCTCGCTATGCAGTTCAGGCTGGCCTTGAGCTCACTTTGTAGCCCAGGCTGGTCTCAAACTCGCAAAGATCCTCCTGCCTCAGCCTCCCGAGTGCTGGGACTATAGGCATGCGCCATCACACCCGGCAGAGACTTTATCTCAAAAAACAAACAAAACAAAAACAAAAATGGAGGAGGAGGTCACTGGGCACCGGCTCGCCAGGTCTCTCTGAGCCCCGCACCTGCCCAGGGGTTGCCTGCTCTGGGCCACGGCCCACTTGAGCCCACCTGGTCAGGTCCACATGAGCGAATCCCTTCCTCCGCACAGACCGCCCTACAGGAGAGCACGCGCCTCGGCTCTCTTCCTTGGGATGAGAGACACAGGCCTGCTCGACCAGCTCCCCGCTCCTTCCCTGTATCGCTGCCCTTTGGAGGTACGGTGGGGCACTGCGCTGGGAAGCCCATCCAGATGCAGTGTGGGGGCTTCGGTTCAATCCCTGGTACTGCAAATGAATAAAGAAATCATAATAAAATGAAGATCAGTAGCGATGAGATGCAGTTTGGGGACTATAGTCCCAGCCACTGGGAAGGCTGAAGCAGGAAGATCCCAAGTTTGAGGCCAAGATGGACTACCGAAGGAGTTCAGAGCCAGCCCAGACTACACAGTAAGGTCCCATCTCCAGACAGAGACAAAAGCTGGGCGTGGTGGCACACACCAGTCATCCCAGCACTGGGGAGGCTGAGGCAGGAGGATCGTGACAAATTCATGGCCATCTTAGGGTACATAGTGAGTGAAAGACCAGCTAGAACTACATAGGGAGACCCTGACTCAAAACAAACAAATAAACAAATTAATAAATAATAAATAAAAAGACTGAGAGAGAGAGAAGATCCTGTGGCCCAGACTGGCCCTGAACTCCTGGCTCAGGTGAT